CAAAGCACATACCGAATGTGGCAAAAGCACTTGTTAGTCTATCCAGCGCTCTTAGCGCATCATCCATGCATTCGAACAGACAAAAGATGTCATCGGCGTACTCTTAATCACACAACTTTCCTCCAGCTACCCATTAAATACTTATACTTTGGAGGCCACTTAGTGCGTTCTCTATACTTTCGTCTACGAGTAAATTGAACAGAATTGACCGAAGAATGCACCCTTGACGAAGTGCGCTGCAGGTGTCGAGCGGCCTACTTAGTTCGTTGCAAATCCTCACTCGACTAGGGGTGTGTGAGTTCAATTACTTCAGTACGTTAACGTAATTCTGGGGCATTCGTTTTCCTCGATGAGAACCCATTAGATCTTCGCAGTCAGTTGAGTCGATCAGATCAATGAACACTGCAATCGTTGGTCGACGGTGTATGTGACGCGGCTCAAGAACCTGACACAACATAAAAGTTTGATCAATACATACACGGCTGGACCGGAATCCGGCTTTCTGTTCACGGATATTGATCTTTCATCACTTCAATAAAAACGTCCGACGTTGAACTATGGCGGAGGCTAGCATTTTGGTGACCATTGGAATCAAAATTATCCCGCAGTGGTTTTCGCAACCCTTGCGAGATCCTTTCTTGAAAATGAGAGCGATCACTGATTCACCCCAAGATGAAGGAATGCCCTCTTGTGTCCAGTTGTTGCGCATTAAGGTAGTAATAGAGGTTACAAGATTATCGCCTCCATCTTGAAAAGAGTAGGAGCCCAGCCGGTGCTGTTGCCTTTCCTCGCTTCAAAGCTTGAGTGCAGGAGCTGACTTCTGCTTCTACTTAAGTACCGCACGTCACTGACCGCGGAGCGTCAGTTACAAATGAAGTTATCTGGCTAGAGCCAAGCCAACTGAACTCTTCGCTGAATTATTCCGCTCAGCGATCAAGCCTTTGATCCGTATTGTGAATAGCTTGCCCCCTTTTATTGCTGACTGTTTCACTAACTGGAGTTCGCCGACCTCCCGTGTTGCGTATCTGTTGGAACAATCTTTATTCTCTGATATCCCGGCTACTTCCCTTTCAATAGCTATTGTTGCTCACCATTTTTCACGGCCTTTCTTGAGGGTCTTGGTGAGCTGACGTTGCAGATGCCACTTAACTCTGTTTTGATCATGGCAGGTCGAGATTTACCGCTTTTCCTTCATCAGTGCTACTGACTCCTGAGATATCCAGTGCCTTCGATGGGCTTGAGGCTGAGACCCACAAGCAACATTCGCTGCGGAATGCATTGCTNTGCTCCTCTAATCTGTTCTCACTGCTCATCTACATCATCACTTTGAAGCGCGCTCAGCTCATGTACAAGCTCTGGCTCATAGCGTGCACGTACTGCTGGAACAGGCTGGCGATGCTGAGCTATCCCTGTATGCTGGTTTTGTTATCGGTCAGTCACTCGGAGAGTGAACTGCATCAAAACTAATGCGTGATCAGATTCAACGAAAGTGGTCCATTAGGGCCTACATTTTTCCACTGAGCCACACTTGCGATTTGTTACGAGGATGAATTCCGTCCGCAGAACGGAATCGTAACTCTGGGCCGCATTAGCTGGTTTGCAATTTTCCCAGTACTGCTGTCATTTTTCACAAATGTTTGAGCTGGTGACAGAAAGAAACTGGGCTGTTGAAAATGCCACTCATCACATTTGCGAAATGTTCACAATCTTTATTTTTATTTGTGACCCACAGCTCAGGAGAACAACGATATGCTTTAGATGTGGCCAAGACGATGCGACACGAATTGCTGGAATCTCTCCAGAATATCGATCTACTGAGGTGAGTTCTCAAACTTTCTTTTCAGTGGCTGCTGAACAATAATCCTCTTTGTGTCACTATGATTCAACCTGTGTCAGTACATTCTGCACCCCATTTATATTCCCGGTATGTTGATAGGCCTCACTGACAAGATCCTTTAAACGCACTTCTAAACACAATGACCACAGCCGATGGTGACACTTGCAGACATCAAAAAAGTTTTATTTTCAAGCTACTCTTATACAATCACTGTCCGTGGCACATCAAACTTGGAAACTCTGTCTGTATCATCCACCCGTTCTAAGTACAAACTTACATTTTTCATACCTCTGTTAGCCTTGTTTTGCTATATTTCGCTGTTTGTTAAGAAGAGCGAGATTTCCACGGAATTATGGATTTGCTAGCTTAGTTTCAGAAGCTGATGTCTGATTTATTTATTATTTTGCCCGATTCTATGGACTTTGTTTTCATAAACACTTGAAATCCACTGTCTTGATTTGGCTGCTCATCATCATCATAATCATCGATGAGTTCGTATTATCAATTTGGGCGTCTGTTAGAGGTTTTTTGATCTGGTCCAATGCATTTTCAAACCAATTGTTGCAATGATCATTCGGAGAGACATTTTATTCCAAGTGTTCATTTTTTTGTTTCAATCAAAGTTCGTATGGGTCATTGGAGGAGCATTTCTTTCGAACCGTATAGTTCATACCAGAGCGGTTTTTCCTATTCCTGCCCTAGGCAATTGAATGTTCGTTCCTAAAGCGACGTTGTGCCTAACTCCAGGTGTATATTTAAACCCATCATCTCCCGGTGGCGTTACTTATTCGTCGTGTTAGTGTTACACAGTACCCTGTTTTTCAGGAGAAAATTTGAGGACCTGGTCAATCAAGCTGTTGGTCAAGGCGGGGTCAAAAAGTCTGGCTCAATGAATCTGGCTTCGGTTCGCCTGGCCCGCACTATCGCTCAAATGGCTCGTCAGTTTCTTCAGGTTAATCTACCTCCGTTGCGGGCACTGCCAACATTGCAGCAATATGATTCGCTCGCAGCACAGCGTAAAGATGAACTGGCGGCACGATGGGAAGAAGAAGAGCGCGCCCTGGCACAGGTGAGCCCTTTACTCTCCCCCATCGGACTAGCTGTTGGTATTTCATACTAAGACAGTTTCCGAATGTAATCCGTATTTTCGACGCCGCTGATTCTTAGTCCTGATCCCTCGAAAAGATGGAATCACACAGGGCTGCTATATGGGTAAGGCTTTGGGCGAAAGCAAATCTGCCTACGTAGAAAAAACAGACCAAGGTTATACGCAACTAAGGACACCCTCACCAAATTTTGTATATTTCACACCGGTTTAAGGACAAGCATGGTGCCAACGCAACAGCAGTTATAATAATAGTAGGAATGAGTAAAGGTTATTGAAATGAAAATGGGAACAAATGTAAGTATAATTTTTAGTTAGTTTCACCGTAAACGTTTCAACGTTTTCTGTCCATTATTGAGAACGGGGTTTAGAGGAGCAAAGCGCATAACAGTTGCGTCACCGAATTCTTTTCTGGGTCATATCCCTCAGGGTCTCTTATCATCGTTGATCTTCATTCCTTGGTCCCCAGCCTGAAAGGTGAGCTGCACCAACCGAATCCTATGCTGAGGCCGACATCCTCATACCTCTACGCATGATCATAATCTGACCGCTGCGGCGGTTCTTCCATCCTTACCCAGCACGCGCATAGAAAGCACGGAGAAGTCGACGGTAGGCAGGCATACGCAAAACATGGCCAAGCCATTGGAGGCGGTGTAGAGCGATTAGCATCCTCAGCTCGGAAATCAGGTTTCGCCACCGTGAATCAAAACATTGCTAATCACGGTTATGTACACCCTTTTCCCTTGGGGGACAGTTGGATGGCGGCGCCACAGCTGGCGCGGGTTGGTAAAAGCTGCTCTCTTTCGCTGTTCGTGATCTCCTCAATACACCCCAGCTGCGATCAAGCTGCCGAGGTATTTAAAGGATCTCGACTACTTCTGTCTGATCACAACAGAGGGTGAGTGCAGACACAGGCTGCTGCCCGTCTTATACAAACACTTTGCACTTGATGCAAAGCCCACACGATATCTGTATACGTCTATCGTCAAGTGGTTTAAAGCGTGTTGTCTTCAGCATATTCTCCGAGAGGATTTTGACTCCATTCGCTAGACGGACCAAAGCGCCCTGGGGAAAATCGTGTATGGGCATATTGAACAACCTTGTCGCACTCCATTAGAGACGGCAAAGAGTGCTGAAAGCTGGCCATAGACCCTAAGTCAACCTGAGTTATGACGATACAACTCTTTGAGGATGAATACACTTCTCCAGCTTCCTTAGCGAATTTCCCGAAGTGCCCTTGCAAACTGGTCTGTGGGATCTTCTTGCCATTACCGAAGTTCGGTTAATTGACGATATTCTCGACTCCGATTCGCACCCACATGAAGTGTTCCTGCTAAGACGGTCGTTCTACACGAGATGGTGGTATCAGCAATCTTCAAATTGAATCATTTGATCTCTTCGATGCAGCCCCCGACACACTGGTGCACAATGATTCTGTCCAAAGATGGCAGTCTTTTGATTGGTGTAGTCTATGGCTTTCCTGCATCCTCAGACACAACGAACCAGACATTCGTATCTTATAATGGGAGACTTCAATTGTCCCAATTTTATAAAACGTCAGAACCACAACCCCCCATTCGAACGGAATCTAACGCAGCTTATCGGCTCACATTCAATATATAATAATGTAAAGGAGCCTACCCGTTTTGGAACAGGCCACCTACCATCAACATTGCACTGGGGGACAAGCGAGGCAAAGTCTGTCAAAATAACGTCTCCCTCAGGACGCAGCGACCATGCAGTTCTGCTTTTCGATTATATTCACCACACCTCTATGGAAGAATGCATAAAAACCAACACGCGCACCCTTATTGGATACAGATAATTGCAGAATCTTTATGCTTTCAAGCAATGGACTCGCTCGGAAGAACTGCTTGATCCATCAGTGTCCTAAAAAAGATTCATTGCCACTCTAACCGGACTCGTGAATATCGCTACAAAACTCAAGTCTATCGGCACAGCGCATGTATGATTATCACCTATTCCCAATCGAAAAAAGAAATAGGCATCACAGAGAAATTGCTCCTGGCGAGAGTTCAAAAGATGTCCAAATGCCGACACTTGGGATAACTACATCATGATTGAAAAACCTCAAGCTGTAAATGAGATTGCATTGTATAATTACCGATGATCTGTTACTATTGACATTGGATTAAACGTTTAGAAATCGAAGGTTGTGTCATTGCGTCACAGGGGTCGCTTTCCATACATACTTGGGAATCAGCTATTACCACATGCTCCAAACGAAAAGGACCTGGGAGCTACTGTTCGTGAGGATCTATGATGTTCCACAAAGTGCGTTAAAGCGTCACCAAAGGCCATAACCCAAGTTGGATTACTAAAATCCGAACTACCAATATATGTTTTTGGATCATTCGAAGCAGACCTATTGCCCGATTTGCTACCAGCATACATTAGACCACATATCGAGTATGCTATACAAACTTGGAATCCTTGGCTATTTCGCGACCAAAAGGCACTCGATCGTCCGCAGAGAACAGTAACCAAAATGGTCAAAAGGTTACAATCTAAAACCTAAGGTGAAAGGTATTTTCAGACTCTGTTCATCTCAATAGTGTTGAGTATGGGGAGACATGATCCTCGTATAGCAAATACTACATTAACTTAACCACCCGTGTAGCATTCTACTAACACTGCTCAGGAATGGTCAAATCAGGGGACATCTATTTAAACTTTTGCTCCAAAAGAGTCAGCCAGACCGTAGGCGTCCCTCCTTCGACCTCAGAGTTTGTATTGCCTGGAACTCGCTTCCACCTCAAGTTGTTTGTGCTCCAACCATCGATTCATTCAAGTCACGGCTAGATGAAGTACTGAAACACTTAACTATTCAGCACCCATGAATAAACGTTATAATTTACTATTTAATTGTACTAACAACCGAACCCAGTGTGTACAGATCCTAAGGGGATTTAATAAGCCGTGGCCTCGGATGTAGAAATCCACTCCACCCCCGGGGGACGCACCAACGAACTAATCGAGATGAACATCAGGTAAACAATCTTACCATGCATTCTGTACTTAGTCTAATGCGATCAAAACCAGATCGACAAACCCAAATAACTATATAATTGCAATGGCCCGTCGATGAATTTATCGAAAAACAGCTTGTTTCGCCTACCGGACTTTGTTTTCGATTTAATAAGCATAAGCTTCGTACTCCAGCCATAGTAAAAATTTGGATTTGAGTTTTAGACTCCATTCCTAAGCAAACAGTTTCATAGTGAAGTCCCATCGATGGAGTTGAAGCCCCTCTTAAATGTCTAAGAACACAATGATCGTTGGTCTGTGGTACCCCAGCGGCTTTCGGAGAGTGGAGATGTGCTCGGTTCATCCACCACAGTCGGGAAAACAAGCCTGCTTTTCATGCGTATTGTACAATGTGCGAAGAATGACGGACGCAAACAGTTTCGACGCTGTTGGGATAAGACCTATCCCCCTATGGTCGGCGCAAACAACGTGTGGGCCTTTTTAAAGATGGCAACAATAATCAATGCCCCACAATGAGTGGACCTGTTCGGTCGTTCTGTTGAGGCAGACCATAGGGGGTGTGTCTGATTAACTATGTGAGAAGCTGAAGCTGGTGACCAAGTAATCTGTGTCTCAAAGTGCTCCACCCAATGTGCAACACGTCGCTGTTGATTCTGAATGAGTGAACTGTCAGCTTCCTAGACCATTTCGCTCTCACCCAATCTTCCCTAACGGCGACTCGGATGAGATAAAACAGCTTACGAGAATTTCTCGTGGTGGCAGCACGTTCCATCTCTGATATGCGTAGGGGCCACCAAATGTCTCTGCGTAGGCTTGCATTGAAGTTACGTCTCGTTACGAGTCGTGTTTCATTATGCTCAATGCCTGTTGGGATTGGTCGGCGAGAAGACGTAGAGACTCGGCGGAAATCCAGGGTTTCACGGCAACACCTATTGGACCACCAATCACCAAGTTAGCAGAATGCTAACTGATGTTATCAAGTGAGGTTGATTCTAACTTTTCAGCTAACACTTTTTGATAGACGCTTAGGCATGCTGGCTCAGACAACTTATCGCAGTCTTATCGTCGTGCAGTGCGTTTAGAACGCCCACCGAAGCAGATGGACAGCTTGGTGCAAATTAATGCGTGGTCGGATTCGAAGGGAGAGCTTCAGTTCGTCCGGCAGTCTTGTGCACCGTTTGCGGCTAATAGCGATGTGGTCGATCTGCGTTCGTCGCTGACTCAAGGAGGGCGGACTCCAGATGGTCTACCATGAACCGGATCGTCTGAAGCTTCTACTCTGATGGAATAGGGATTTTACTTAGTTATTGGTCGAAAATATAAACTCGAACGCACAGTTTACGGTTGTACAAACTAAAACTAATTGTCCACCCGTCGAAACAGTCAATCACATTGCGCGTGAAACACTGCAAACGTCGTGCTTGACCTCAACCCCATCAGACCAAACCCAACAAAAACCTACGGCAAAAAACGTCTGTCGGCCGACAACGAGGTCGGCCAAATTACGTCCCTAAACTCCAATGGATTTCTACACCGACAACGAATGAACTGTTTCTATACCAATTCTCAGGGTTTTTTCAGTAAGTTTCCGGAAATGGAACTAC